CGGCAAATTCTATTTTCTCTAAGTGTATCCCAACATGTCCATTATTATTAGGTATCATGTAATTTAATTCAAGGATCAGATCATCACTGTATGCTCCTTTTTCATGATCTTTCAGAGGAAAATATAATCACTGTTTTTTATGCGGACTCCAGATCAGTTCCATGCAACTTTAATTAATTTAATTAAGTAAAACTTTAATTTAATTGATTATTGCCAAAACAAATAGATCTATATTGCGTTTTGCTAGCAACATAGCAACACATTTCGAATCAAACAGTTTAGGTCTGGTTGGGGAAGACAATGACTTTGGCCTCTGGAATGCTACATTCAGAGTGTATGACTATCCAAAGTGGCAGTAAACTAAGACAGAGCAGAAGTGTGTTAGGATTATCTCGATATCATGAACAAATTGGCTGCCACTCATCTCTTTTATATGGGTGTATGTAAAGTGACACTATGTCTTTATGCTTATGACCCTTGATCTATTGTTCACAAGTAGTGATGGTCCGCATTGTATATTTTCTTGGAAACAATCTGTACCTTGCATATTATTGTTATAGTATCATCATCATGCTTGCTGTGATATGCTTAGGTGGAGCACAGAACAGACAACACAGAAAAGAGGAAACCAAGAACCCTATCCTTTGTAGTTCGTGGTTTCCAAGGCATCCAAATACACAAACTTATCTGTCTGAACACAACGTTGTAGGCAGACACTATATAAACATCTAGGATTACCCCTCGTCTTGGTGCCACCGTTTGTCACAGAAAAGATGCGGGAAGCAGAAAAAACATGAATAAATTAAACGTGTTCTTATATACAAGTACGTGAGGCCAAACTGGACCGGGAAAGATCACATATATGCACAAGTAAAGTCTAAGCTATAATCATTAATTGTTGGTTTTGGTGACTGGATAACAATTTTCGTGCAGTAAGAGGAAAATATTTAATTTCCCAAATTTGGCTTCATTAATTTAGATGAGTGTATTTTTTCTTAATAGAAGTGTTATACTGATCAACACCAGGTCAAGTTTAACATCATCATGCTCCTAAAACAAAACTTGAGGCATAGGGAATAGAATTCCAAGGGCTGTTTGATGGATGAAGCAAGAAATTTCTTAACAGGATGGGGTAGGAGTGACTACAGTGTGTAACATCCTGCCTTGCTAATCATGCTGATTGATTATTGATCATTTGGTCCGTCATGCCTTGGGAATGTTGAAGAAACTGGTGGGTGGGTGGCGTTTGTCCTAGATGTTACTATTGAAGCTATGACAACCGCTTCAATAAGTTAGGTCAATTACATTAATGAAACAAACTACATTAACCGTGCCTTGCCTTGGATTCATCCTTCTTTCTTCATTCCCAGTGACTCACTAAACTCCATTGATTTGGGGTCTGGCAAACATCTCTTCTCTATCCTTCCCTCACCGTCACCAATGGCTCTCAAGAAGTCTCCAGATGGCTTCCTTTTTTTTCCTCCTCCTCCTCCTTCTTCTTCCCCTCCCCCTCCTCCCGCTTCTTCTTCTGCTGCTTCTTCTTTTAGTTATAAAGCCCTCCCTGCACTCAGCTCTCGGCAAGAGTCACCCGAACACTGCTTTCAATCACTTCATTTTCCTCATGGAAAGCAGCGAAATGCTTCTTGTGGCTACCTTCTGAGTTCTAAACTTCTCCGTGAGACTTTCAAGAACATCAGTGACAAGGTCGATCTCTCTATTCAAACTGACTTCTCACTGCTTTTTAATATCCTTTTCTCCCCTCATCGAGTAAAGAGGAGGGGAAATTGAGAAACGTAATGAGTTGGGAAAGAAGAAATTGATTTGCATTCTTGGCATTTCAATTCCTTCTGACCTTGTCTCACAGATCACTGTGAAGAGGCAGGTTAGAAGAGAGTTACTATGTGTCCCCAGCTAGGAAGCTGATCCGTAGGGCTGGGATTCTGATGTAGATCTGACAACTTTCCTTTTCCAATATTCCATCCACTAGTTTATGCAAGCGGCCCCCTCTCTCCCGGACCTCTACCAGCCAGCACCTGAGAGTCTTCTCTTTCTGCCTCACTTCCACGATCCAGTTCCCAACACAGCCTATCCGAACACTCTAGATCTCCCTAAGCGTCTCTGGCCTCCACTACCTGAAAACTTAGTCCCCGCCCCCCAAATCAGGTAAGGTGCCCCTCCTCTGTGTTCCCATAATGTCCTGTTTTGATTATACTACGTAACTTTTTTCTACATATCTTAATAAACACTTTTTGAAGCATCACAGAGAAAAGGGCACCTATCATAAGCATATAACCTGATGAAATATCAAAAAGCAAAACTACTCCCTGAGACCACCAGCCAAACTGAGAAATCACCAGCACCCAGGAGACCACCCCTTTCACGTACCCTCTTAATCATGATCTCCACCCGCATCCTCTCCTCAGAGGTGATCATGTCCTGACCTCTATATAGATTCACTTTGTTTGTCTGCTTTCAAGGTTTATATGCGTTAAACCATACAGTCTGTTTGCTATGTTTGTTTGTGGGTTTTATTCCCTGTTAGTGTATGTAATGAGCATCCGTTTTCAGTGCAGTATAGCATTCCCTTGTATGAAATCATGCTAATTTATTCTACCCTTGGTGGACAGTTTGAATTGTTCCCATGTGGGGCTAAGATGAATAGTACTCCTGTGAACATTATTGCAAATTTTTTTTTATTGAATTCATGTACATTCTTTGGGGTATAAAGCATGGAGAGGAGCTACTAGGCCAAACGTTATATGCGTGATCATCTTTAGCAAATAGTGCCAAGCAGTTTTCCAAAATGGTGGTGCTACTTTACACGCCCACAGTAATGTGCTTTGTATTTCCAGCTGCTCTTAATTGGCACCAACAACTGATAGTGTCTACATTATGCTTGCAAATCCCAACCCCCTTTCTCTCTCTTTCCGCATAGCCTGACGCCCGCGAGATACCTCCGTAAGCGTCTGATGAAATAATAAGTTAATGGTTAACAAACGCACAGGGGTCCGCTTCTAGATCTGTTGTCACAAGCATAGTCTCTCGAGACCCCTCGTGATTTGACTTCTAACGTCACCACTTACTAACCAGCAAGTTACCTTTCTGTACTAGTCTCTTCGCTTTTGATATCCCAGGGTCATCCTGAAATAGCCTATACTGTACTTAGACTAACTTCTCGTGTATAGTAAGAGCTCACTAGCATTAGCTGTTAGTGTTATTATCTAACCCTGAGGGCCTGCACCCAATTAGACTTCCTACAAATAGAATCGGTCGGTAAGAATCTTTGGTATCCCCTCTGTGAAGCCTGCTCCAGGCAGCTGATCCCACGGAAGCATCTGGACTTCTGAAGTTCTCTTTACCCCTCCTTCGGCACCTGCTGTGCACCATGAGTAGGTGCCCTGTCTCCCCAAGTTGATGGCCAATGCCCCAAGCACAGTGACTCAGTCTTCGTGGTAGCAGTGGTTTCAGAGTCCCCTTTTAACTTGGGGGAACCGTAGCTGAATACATTGCCCCCAAACCCACGGTTGAACAGATGCACGGTGAGAGGGCGATGGAGAAGCGTACTGTCCCTTTTTGCAACTGCCAGGCTCAAGCTGTAGTTTCCAATGCTGGCAGGGAGGTACTTTCCTCTCCCAGATAAAAGATACCTCTGCTTGTATGCTACCTTACATCACAGTACTTGGTAAATATTTGCCCTTTTAAAAAAGTGACCCCCTGTTCTTTCTTAGCTTCCTTGTTCTTACCTTGTTCCCTTCCTGCCCACTTGTATTTGATCTCATCTCTCACTGTTTGCATGACAACCCTTGGGACCCCTCTGCTCTTATTTCCCAAGCAACAGGATCAGATCTTATACAGTGATTGACTATAACCCAATAAACCAAGTGTCTACCCTTAAAAAAGTAAAAAGCTCTGTCATCCATGACCAGCCCCTGTGACTTAACTATGATTAGACTGGAGATTCCCAAGCCTGCAAGAACTGTGTTCAGATAAAAAGGTAATTTAAGCGCCTTTGGTTCAAGAAGGAGTTTGTAACTATTGATAATGAGAATGAGGGGAAGCTCTGCAAAAAGCCCCCCCCCCCCCCCCCCCCCCACCGGTCAGAGCTGGTGTCAATCTCTATTAGGAAAATGCAGGCTTTAGAGTCTCTGTGACAATTTGGACTCACATTTGGATGATCTCTTAGTATCTTCGTATCTTTCCCTCTTCTACAGTAGATATTCCAGTGGTATGAGCCTTAGGAGTGGTCTCTACACCCCAGACCAGAGCATGGGGGTCTACACCGCAGACCCAGAGTCGGCTGGGGCCGTGCACTGCCGGGTACACACAGGCTCAAGAGGCTTCTGGCCTGTGCCAGGGACTGGCTCCTTGGGGGTCCTTCTCTGAGCTGGCACGGTACTCCATTCAGCTCTTGGTGCTCTCAGCTTCGGCCAGCTCAGCTTCTTGGGAACATAGTCGTTCAGGACAGACATCCTCGCCCTCTTGAGTGGCATTCTACTTGCAGACTATTATCTTGACTTCCATTTCAACAAACTGCTTTATTGAAAAAGCGTCCTTCCTATTAGGCTCTGTAAGGGCAGAGATTTGTCTGCTTTGCCCACTGCTATATCCCCAGCACTCAGAGCAGAGCCTGGCCCAGATTATTTGTTGAAAGAATTACCTGCCAGGCAAACCAAATGTCAGGACCAACAGCCAACTTCGTAGGGTAGGCAATAAATACAGGGAACATTGCTTCATGGTTTCCTTGTGAAATGCATTTGTCTATGGAAAAGGATTTATTTGGATGGGTTTATGAACGACTGACATCATAAGACCACTCTGTAGCCCCCTGGAGTCTGAACCTGACGCTCTTGGAAGCAAACCACCGAGCTGGAAGTCACAGCAGCATTTCCCAGGTTTTAAAATTTTAAATGGACCCATTATTGCTTACCCTCCCCCCACAACCAAGATATACAGAAATAACACACGTGACACAATTTATGTAAATATTTTTCAAGGTTTTATTGCAAACCAAAGTTGGTTTATCGCACACAAAAAAAAGTTGTGTGGTGGGGAGGGGGGGGAAGAATTGTACATATTATAACCATGTTAATTACAGTACATTAAAATGGTGGTTTACATTACAAATAAGCCTGTAAGTTTAAATATACTAGTGTTATAACCCAATGTACAGACTGTCTTTATACAATACATACAGTTATCAGGAATGCAAAAAAAAAAAAAAGAGGAACATAAATAATGCCCATTTTACAGGTGACATTTTAAACAATGAAAATACCAGGCTTTGACCGACAACTGGGGCATTGGTCCATAAAAACCCTTTCTAAAAATAGAAATATTTGTAGCAGCAATGCTTTCTTTAAGCATCTGGATACAAGTCATTGCAAGACCATTTTCAATAAATTTTAGTTATTAGCTGTATCTTACAGAAGAAAAAAACGGTCTACACATAAATTTATCTTCCAAATATGGAAGAAACAAACAATGTCCCACATTGTAGTATCCTGCAAGTGTCACATTGATGCTTATAACGAAATCCATCTGTGATCAAGCATACCACATTCATACCACTGTTCACACAGTAAATCCACAAGGGGAGGGGAAAAAAAAAAAAAAGAAAAAGAACTGAAACACTCTGCAACAGGAAAAGCTTTGGAGCTAACACGATCTCATCAGAAAAGGCACATTTCATCAGATTCGACATCACGGCCCAGACAGACCCTCAGAAAACCCTCCTTAGAGCTGCGTCGTCCTAATAAGACTACTGCCTCTGTCTACGGCGGCACGCGAACGCTCACTGCAGAGATAGCACCATGTTGGAAGGAAGAATAAAAATGAAAACCTCATGAGCTCACTGAGAGGAGGATGTGCTCTTCGAAAAGCTTCCGGCGAACAGTGTGCAATGAGATTGCCAAGACGTGCAAGCTTCCAGAGATGTGCAAATTCTCTTTTAAGACGTCCTGTCAGCTGGCGGCCCCGCCAGAAGGCTAACTAGAACACTTAACACACGCACACACACACACACGAATCCTTCACGACCAACCCCGGGACCGTTCAGAGGAAAGAGTCCACAGGGGGTGCGTAGGAAAAGCCTAGGAAGGCCTCGGCCGCTTCCTTGACGCTGGCTGTGAGCAGGATGCTGTCAGGGGACCTGCCAATGGAGCTGGGGACCGGCTCTTCGGTAAATTCGGGATCAAAGTGCCTCAGGTCACTAGGTCCACTCTGTGGCAGGAAAACAAAACCAAACCAAACACTCAGCGTCAAGAATTCACGGTGGGTACAGGGCAGGGAAATCCTCATTCGGGCTTTAAACCCCGGAGCTCGACTCTTCAGGGCACTCTATGGAAACTCCCGTAACAGCCATCCGTTTCAAGCACAGAAGCCAAAGGGCACACAAAGTTTAAATAAGGCGGAGGGTGTTCGCTTTTTAGCTTTTGGTACTTGAATTGGGAGCTGTGGTGAGAAGTGATGTTAGCTTGGCTGGGACAAAAATTCCACTTTTCACCTAGGGAAGGTTGTGGTTTGTGAATAAAGGACCCAAGTTGTTCCTTGAGGGCCCTCCCCTCCACCACCACAGCCTCTGACTTAAAGAAATGCCCTTTGGGCCCTCCCATACTTGGCAGAAAGAGACACTCACCACATTTGGGTTAAAAGGGGGAGTAATCTTCTTATTAATGAGATCGTCCCAGTTAATTAGGGAGAAGAAGACGTGATTCTTAATCTCCATCTGTCGAGAAGAAACAGGAGGTTAAGTTAGACAGGTGGAATTCGAGAAGGGCAGTGAGGTCTAGGGTGCTTCCCAGCCCGCCCAGAACAGGGAGAAGGCACTCACAAAGTCGTCCTGGGCGCCCAGCCTCTTGGTCCTGTCCTTCTGCAGGAGGCCCTCCAGAAGGTGTCTGGCAGAATTGGTAATGTTGGGCTTCAGCTGGAGGGGCTTGTTCAGAATGTTGTCGTACATCTCAGCTGTGTTTCGGCTATAAAAAGGAGGCTGAAAGAACAGGGGAAATCAGCGCTTAATCGGGGGTTTGGTACAGCAGACATTACCAAGAGAGAAATGCACTGTGGTATGCTAGATGCGACAAAGCCCTTCCCTTAATGGGGTTTC